GTTAGGATGAGTGACTGAGGACAGCGGACTGGAGTCACATACAACTAGACCTCACCAGCAGAGGTCAGGAGAGGACAAGAAGTACTGGAAGGAGAGTCCCGTTTTAACAGAATAACGACACGGAAATGTCTACTGGTCCTGTATTTTGAGTAAGATTTCACACCACATAAAATTAAGATACAGTTTTTAAAGATATGAATAGGCTCCAATATTCCATAAGCTATGCAAAATACTGCATTACATAGAGGAATAGCTGAATTCATGAAAATTCATAGCCTTACATACCCTTTCCTCTTTATTAAAAACATCAATAAGCTCAAAGAAACAATATAATCCATTATTAATATTGTTCTCTGCTGAGTAAATATAATAAGTGTAATTGTTTATTTGTTTAAATGCCTGTTTGGAGGACTCCAAAGCACTGTGCAAACATCAACACGAATCCTCTTATGAGGGGCTACCCACTACCACCCCTATTTTAAACGGAGAACAGCCTTAGGCAAAATAATGCATGATGAAGCTGGAACTAAAACTATGATGACTTGACCAGGCGTTAGTGTACAAATCTTCCCAAGTGGCAGTAAGCGCATACTTCAAGGCTATGCTTTGTAAAGATTAATAAACACGTGTAGGATTCAGCAAGGTACTATTTCCACTGATGTTATTCAATGAAGTAATACATGCAGAATTTTTTATTAGCCTCCTGGAAACTGTAGGCTTGGCTATTAGGGCTAGGCAGTCACTGAAAAACAATGAACTAAACTTAACCCAGAAAAACTGGGGGAAATTCTGATAAACTCAAAAGTTTACAGTCTTAGACTGCTTTGCATATGTCTAAAGTTCTCATTCCACTGTAAAGAGACCAAAAGTATACAAGGCAGGTCATGTAACAGGAGCAGAGTTTTAGGCAAAACTTATACAAAAGGCATAAATGGAATCTCAATGAGCAGCCTCAGCATCCTGCATCTTCCTCAGTAAAAGACTGGCAAATGCCTATAAAATTACATCTTAATGTTAAATTATTAGGGCATGCACAGGTTTTTCAGTGACCTCCTATTACACTCTTTAAAGCAAACTGCCAATTAATTATAAGCATAATTGCGCCTGGTGGGTCCTTTATTCTACAGGCAAGTCTCTTAAAAAACAAAAATGCAAAGACAACCTCCCTCAGGCATGCATCCTCCGCTAGTTTTTGTCTTCTATTCTTCTTTCCCTCACTGTCACCCTTCTTGAATCATCTGTATCACCAGTTCCCAGACTTCTGAACTTTCTGCACCAGAAAACTATGCAAAAGAAAAAGAGAAGCAGAGGCACTGAAGGGAGAAGTCTACACTGAGTTGCCAGATTTCATTTTGCCAAACATGAATATTATTTTGTTAAAAGATACCTTCTAATTCTACTCTCCCTAATTTCTCAAATAAATGCCATTGTAATATTCAAAATTGTTTAGGTCACCATATTTAGTGTTAAAAAGCAGCCAATATGTTCACTGAATTATGCATTCGGCCATCACTTACTGAGCATATATACTATATGCAGGGCTCTGTGTTCTGGGGGTAGAGCAGTGAACAGAGTAGATAACCCCCACAAAGAGATGACATCTTAGTGAGCAAACAGACAAATTAAAGACGTAAGTAACATATTTAAAATGTGAAATAGTGTTAAGTGCTAAAAAGAAAAACAGGGGAAAGAGAGGGATAATTAGCATGTGTGGGGGGAGGGAGTTCCCAATTTTAGATATGATGGTCATGGAGGAGAGTCTTATTCTGAAGGTGACATGTGAGAAAATAGCAAAGGAAATGGAATGTATCTCATAGCTACTGGGCAGTGAGGCAGGGAAGCGCCCCAGAAGAGGAAGCAGCCAAAGAAACAATATGGCAGGCATGCTCTGGAACCACTACGGAGGCCAGTGAATAAGGAAGAGAAGGCAGTGAGGAGGAAATGAGAGCCTTAACAAAGACCACGTCATAAAGAACTTTGAAGGACACTCTAAGGCCTTCCTGTTTTACTGTGGATATGACTGAGAGGCAACACAATGTTCCAATCAGAGTGTCATGATCTTACGTATTTTAACAGGCTCATACTCTCTCTGTTGGTGAACAGGAAGATCATGGTGGAGAAAGGGGGACAACAGCAGAAGCAGGAAGACAGAAAACTCCAGAAGAGAGGTTACAGTGAAAAGGGTGGCAGAAGTGGTGATGGTAAGTCATCACATTCTGAATACATCTTGAAGGAAGAGCTCACAGCGTTGATGAAATGCAGACTATGAAAGAGAGAAAGTCAAAGGTAACTTAGAAGTTTTAGATTGAACAAGCAAAAAAGTGGAGCTCCCATTTATTAACACAGGGAAGTGTGTTAACAGAATGGATTTAAAGAAAATACCAGACTCCTGTTTGGACATTTGTTAGACATCTAAGTGCACAGATTAAGTCAGACATTTAAGTGTAGACATTTAAATGTATATGCAAGGATATACAAGTACGGGATTCAGGGAGCCACAGATATGGTCGGCATTTAAAACCAAAAGACGGGATGAGACCAAAAGTAAAAAATACAGACAGAAAAGAGAAGTTCCAAGGCCTGGGCCCTGGGGTACCTCAAAGTACAGAGATCTAGGAGATGAGAAGGAAAAAGCAGAGGAAACTGAGAACAAGTGGAGAGCCTGAGGGTCTGAGGGCTGGGAAGAAAGAATGTGTAAGAATGAGACCGTAGCCAACCACATCAAACGCTGCTGGCAGGTCAAGAGGAAGACTGAAAACTGCCTACTTGATGACACAGTATGTTGGTAATTTGAGACCCTAATACAGGCCAGGAGGGGGGTTGGGGAAAGGGTGGGAGTTAAAAATCTGATAGGAATGGATGCAAGAAGGAAAAGCAGGAATGAAATGGAATAGAAAGGGTACAGACACCTCTTTCAAGGAGTTTTGCTGTAAGACCAACATAGAATCTGGGTAGTTCTGAGGAGGAAATGGGACAAAAGAAGACTGGTACTGGGGTGTCGTTTACAGGAGAAGTAAGAAATTTTACTCTGCCGGGAACATCAAGCAGAAAGAGAAAGACCTCGGGAGAGGGGAGAAGAACAGCGCAAGTGACATCATCGAACAAGTCTAATCACTCCCAGTGACAAGAGCCTCTACGCAGAGGAAGACAGGCAGGTAGGTGTGGCTGTGGAACTCTGTGGAAGCTCTCTGATTGCCTCTATTTTCTTATAAGACACAAGTAGAAGACGAGCTGAGAGGACAAAGGAAGTACTGGAAGTTTGAGGAGGAAAGAGAATGGTCCAGTAGCTGAAATGGAGCAAAACCTGACTAGGAATAGCATGCTTTCCTAATGCAAGTTGGCCGGAATCAGGGCTGGACTTTAGTCCGGGGGAAGCAATAGAGACGAAGGAGTAAAGGTTCGTGGGAGTGATTACACAGACCTACAGCAGAAGTTCAGCTGGAGAAAGAGGGAATGAAGACATGAGCTTGGTGAGGGATAACATAACAGTGGTCGTATCAGTGAGGTTCAAGGATAAGTGAAGTCAGGACATGGACAAGAGAGAAAACGGTCACAGAGTGGGGAGAGATCCTCAGATTCCCATTTCAAACGGGACTGATACTGGCCACCAAGAATCTCCCGCCCAGTGTCTCACTTGACCTTCCTCTAGTCATCGGATGACAGTGAGTGGCTCCACGGCAGAAACTACCTCTTCTTTGGCCCCAGTATTCTAGGCGGCACCTAGTCCACTGCTTGATGCGCAGCTGCTACTCGATGTACCTACTGTAAGAAACTCATCTGCCAGAACATCAAGGTTGTGATACGGGGAGAAGACGAGGCAGACACAAGAGAATTCATCCACAGGAAGTACCTGTTAAGGATCTTTATATATTTCAAAGGACAATTCTGTCTGCATCTTAAAGGTACGCTTCATTTTCTTATTTTCAGAAATTTTTGACTTCAGAAAGATTTTTCTAAAGTGTTTTTCGAATTCTCATTCTAATTCTTTACCTCCATTATCTGAAACTCAGCCTGTTTCCCCAATCAAATATAAGCAAACCAAAGATAATCCCAATCAGTAGCCTGCCTTTCACTCTGTAATTCATTTTTTAGTACAGAAAAAAAAAAAAAGAAAGAAAGAGAGAGAGAGAGAGAGAGAGAAAGGGAAGGAGATTCTGACCAACCTTAAAATAATCCCTAGTTCTCATGCACACACAGCTATGGGACAAGCTCCTTGGCCAAGTATAATGAACACAGGGGGAACACTGAGTTTAAAAAAAAAAAGTGGGGCGCCTGGGTGGCTCAGTGAGTTAAAGCCTCTGCCTTCGGCTCAGGTCATGGTCCCAGGGTCCTGGGATCAAGCCCCACATCGGGCTCTCTGCTCAGCAGGGAGCCTGCTTCCACCTCTCTCTCTCTGCATGCCTCTCTGCCTGTCAAAATAAATAAACAAAATCTTAAAAAAAAAAAAAAAGTGACAAGTTTACTATACATAAGATTTTTTAAAGTCCTTAAGCTAATGGACTTATCTGACTAAAGCAAACTTCTGTTGTTTATAGGAAATTTGGTTACAAGCTCATGGAATAGCTCTATTACAAAAAGTTGCAGGTCTAGAATCCTGCTTTACTAGCTACAGAGCACATGAGAATCACTTGCAAAGCTTTCCGCAAATGACCTACCTGGGCTCCTGCCCAGAGAGTCTGACCTAACAGACGGAGGAGGGTCCCCAAGCACCTGCGCTCTTCGAAGGCTCTACATTCGAAGCACTCCTAGACTGAGACTGTCTAGCAAACAAGTCTCTGAGAACTGCTACCTTTCTTTCTTTCAAGTATCTATCAGAAATTCCAAAAAATCTCCTAAAATTGATTCACTGTTAATTACTTTCTTAGTGATACACTCTGGGTCAAATTTAAATGGCCACACCATTTACATAACATGGCACTCAAAGTCACAAAGGTGGAGATTTTAATCCTCTGATAACATAATTCACCAGTGATGATAAAAACATGCAGAGCTGGACTCACGCGTTCCACAGCTGCGTTGTGATTCGGGAGCTCCTCCTCACTGCAAAGGAAGAACAGTAGATGTGAAACAGTTAAAATCATAGCGAACTTTTTAAATATTATATACGTATAGATATAGATGATATACATGACCGTCATCACAAGAATGGATCACACTACATAAGCTTCCATGCTACCAAATTCAATATAAAACAATTAGTGACCCTGAACCCACAAGGTCCCCTATCCCCCAATCTCTAGATATACACTGTCCAAGATAGTCTTCTCCAGCCACATGTGGCTATTTAATCTTAAATGTTAAGTTCAAATTAAATAAAAATAACAATTCAGTTTTTCAGTCTCACCCCAGCCACAGTTCAAGTGCAAGACAGTTATGCAGATAGAGGCTATCGTTTTGAACACTGTGTATATAGAAAGAATATTCCCACCACGGCAGGAAAAGTCCTACTGGACAACACTCCTACAGACCAGGAGTCAGCAACCTTCTTCTGGGAAGGTAAATATTTAAACAGTAAATACAATGGGCTTTGCACACCGTATAGTCTTTGTCATTAACTATTCAACTGTAACTTACGTTGTATTGCACAGACAGGTAATAGTATACTAAGTGTGGTTTTATTCTCGCCAAACATTTTCAAAAACAGGTGGTGAGCTGACTGTGATGTGGTCATAGTTTGCCAACCTCTACTTGACAACATCACCTCCACTCCGTGGCTCAAACTATGGCCTATAACAACTGATTGCTTTTCACAAAATGATAAAAGGATCGGGGCACCTGCGTGGCTCAGTCAGTTAAGTGTCTGCCTCCGGCTCGGGTCATGATCCCAGCGTCCCCACATTGGGCTCTCTGCTCAAGGGGGAGAGTCTGCTTCTCCCTCTCTTCCCCACTCCTGCTCTCTCTGTGTCTCAAATAAATTAAAAATCTTAAATAAATAAATAAATAAATATTTTTGAACGGTGTAAGAAAATAAAACAGCCTCCAACAGATTAATGAATGAAAAAGGAAAATCTAATTCTATACATCAGGAAAGCTACATTTGTCAAAACTCCAATGGGGATGAGATTTTTAAATATGCAACAAAAGATCAAATTCATTTCCTGATACAGTAATACTGTGATATCAGCTCTAACCTGAAACATCTTGAGCCTCTTATATTAACAGAAAAACAATGCACTATCTGTAACAAAGTTCTGAGCGTTGAACTGTGACCTCAGTAATATTGATGGTTGGGCAATGATACAGACTCTCCTCGTAGTTTCTCTTAAACCACATAATACCACGCACATTAGTATTCAAGAATCCAGTATGTTCGAAGGCACTCTTCTGCTACTCTGAAGAGTCCTCAGGTGAACCACAAACCAACCTACAGCAATGGAACCGACAGAAAGTCCAACAGCCAAAGGAGATCTTTGAGAGATAGTCCAAACCCTTCACTTCAGAGATAAGAAGCTAACATTTCACTTACTTACAGTCATTTAGCCTAATACAGAGATGCGCAATCCTATCGCTCTAGCCCTGTGGGTTCAAACAAAGATGAACAAGATTCTTCGGTTTGTGGAGCGGTATATGGAGAAAAGGCTAAGAAACCAATTCTCAAAAAGAAAATAAATTTTGAGGATTTAATATAAAATTTTTTTTTTTATGTAAAATGTCCACTCTCACCTTACTGAAGGTGACACCTGGGTTTCTTTTTTTTTTTTAATTTTCATTATACTCATAGTCTACATTTCCCTGCTCATCAATCTGTACTCCTGATTACTAGAGCCAACGATGTATGAATGGTACAGGATGTAACTTCTAATTTAAAAGTACATCTATCCCTTCTTCACTTACTGGCAGAAAAAGGGCTTATCGGCACAGCTGGAATTTGTTTCTTAGGTGAACAGGGTCAGCAGGGACATCATGAACAACTAGGAACATCTGATACCCTTTGCGCACACTGAGACCGGTATTTCTGGCGTGAGCAGGCTGCCCTGGGCAAGAGCAGCTTCTTGTGCAGCTGATTTGAGCAGCTCCTGGTAACTGTTTGTTTGAACTTTCCCAACTGCAAATGAAGCGCTGACCCTGGCGGCTGACTGCACGACTAGCTCTTTGAAGGCGCTGGGTACAGCTCTTTGGTGTCCTCCTACTGACCCGACGAGACTAAAAGACCTCACTGTGCCTGTTCCCAGCACTGAATCACAACCAACTTCTGCACTCGTCTGTGGAGTGGGGCTGATCATCTATCTGCTCAGGCCACATGGCCTGTGGTGCTCACGGTCTACAGACGTGAATTTCACCTGCGAAATTCAACATGAGACAGCACTGCTCTCAGCATCCCGCCCCACCTTAACATCAAGCCATACTCCTGAAAGCCCTGGGAGAGAGATGCAGGACCAAACGCACAACTGAAGTCAGCCAGAGGCGACATCCAGAAGTAGACAGACTGGGTGTTGGATTTCTCTCCATCTTGATATATTACGTGATTTCCTTTTGCCTGTCATAACCCCCACCCCAGGACCTGCTTGCCTGCGCAGGAACATCATCATATCCCCAGACAGTTACTGAACTCCTACTAACCAAACCTTTTTTCATATGCCATTTTTTAAATTTATTTTTTAAATTTTTGATTGAGATATAATTGACATATAACATTGTATGAGTTTTAGATGTACAACACAATGATTTTTATATATGTATGTATATATATATCACAAAATGATTATTATTTTAAGTTTAGTTAGCATCTATTTCCACACACAGCTACACGTTTTGGGTTTTCCCTTGAGATAAAAACTTTTAAGATCTACTCCCTTAGCAACTGTGGAATATACAACACAGTATTATTAACTATAGCTGCCACACTGTACACTCCATTTCCAGGACTTATTTACCTTATTACTAGAAACTTGTACCTTTTGACCACTTTATCCCATTTTGCCTACCTCCCAGCACCACCACCACTCCCCATCCCATCTCTGGCAACCAGCAACCCGTTCTCTGTATCAATGAGTTCATTTTTTTTGTTTGGTTGCTTTAGATTCCACATGTAAGTGATAACATACAGTATTTGTCTTTCTCTGATTTATTTCTCTTAGCATAATGTCCTCAAGGTCCATCCATGTTGTCAAAACGGTAAAATTTCAGAGGCTGAATAATATGCCTCTGTGCGTGTGAGTGTCTGTGTGTGTGTGTGTGTACACACATTTTCCTTATCCATTTATCCATCAACAGACAACTTAGGTTATTTCCATGTTTTGGCTACTATAAACAATGAAGCAATTAACAGCAGGGGGCGGGGTACAAAAATCTTTTTGAGATAGTAATTTCCCTTTGGATAAATACCCAGAAGTAGAATAGCTGGATCATAAGTAGTTCTATTTTGAAGGAGGGGGTGAAGATTTTATTTATTTGTGAGAGAGCACAAGAAGGGGGATCAGCAGGCAGAGGGAAAGCAGGCTCCCCACTGAGCAGAGAGCCCAATGCCAGACTCAATCCCAGGACCCTGGGATCATGACCTGAGCCAAAGGCAGATGCTTAACTGACTGAGCCACCCAGGCTTCCCTAAGTAGTTCTAGTTTTAATTTTTTAAGAAACTTCCAAACTGTCTTGTTTCATAGTAACTGCACCATTTTCACTCCTACAGGCAGTGCACGGGGGCTCCCTTTTCTCCACATCCTTGCCAAAAGCTGTTATTTCTTATCTTTTTGATTATAGCTATTCTAACAGGTATGAGGTGGTATCTCACTGTGATTTTCATTTGGGTTTCCCGATAATAGGGGATGGTAAGCGTATCTTCATGTGTCTGGCAGTCATTTGTATGTCTTCTTTGGGAAAATGTCTATTCAGGTTCTTTACCCATTATTTAATCGGATTTTTTTTTGCTTATTTGCATGAATTCTTTATATATTTCGGATATTAATCTCTTTTCAGATACCTAATTTGAAAATACTTTCTCTCATTTGGTAGGCTGCCCTTTTTATATGCTGTACAGAAGCTTTTTGGTTTGATGTAGTTCCACTTGTTTATTTTTGCTTTTGTTGTCTCTGTTCTTGGTATCAGATCCAAAAAATCAGAGCCAAGACCAAAGTCAAGGTGCTTACAGCCTATGTTTTCTTCTAGGAGTTTTATGGTTTTTGGTCTTACGTTTAAGCCTTTAATCCACTCGCTCTTCTGCATATAGCTGCCCAGTTTTCCTACCACCACTTAATGAAGAGTGATCTTTGTGATCCCCATTGTATATTCTTGGCTGCTTTGTTGAAAATTAACTGACCATAAATGCATAGGTTTATTTCTGGACTCTCAATAATGTTCCATCAATCTATGTCTCTATTTTTACACCAATACCATAATGCTTTGACTACTCAAGATCTGTAACGGAGTTTGAAATCATGAAGCATGATGCCTCCAGCTTTGTTCTTTTTTCTCAAGACTGCTTTAGCTATTTTGGTCTTGTGTGGTTCCATACAATTTTAAGACTGTACACACTGTATTTCTGTGAAACAGGTCATTGGCATTTTGCAGGTATTATACTGAATCTGTATATAGCATTGGGTAGTATGGACATTTTAAGAAAACGATTCTTCCAATCCATGAGTATGGAACTTCTTTCCATTTATTTGTATCATCTTACATTTCTTTCATCAATGTCTTAGAGTTTTCATAGTATGTCTTTTTCTCCTTGGTTAAATTGATTCCTAGCTATTTTATTCTCTTTGATGCAGTTATAAACAGAATTATTTTCTTCATTTCTTTTTGATAGTTTTTATGATGTATACAAATGCAACTCATTTTTATATATTGATTTTGTATGCCACAACCTTACTGAATTCATTTATCAGTTCTAACAATTTTCTGGTAGAGTCTTTACGGTTTTCTATATATAAAATCATTTCATTTGCAAATAGAGACAGTTTTACTCCTTCTGTTTCAATCTGGATTTTTATTTCTTTTTCTTGCCTAACTGTTCTGGCTAGAACTTCCAGCACTATGTGAATAAAAGTGGGAAGAGTGGGCATCTTTGTCCTGTTCCTGATCTTGGAGGAAAAGCTTCCGCTTCTTACCACTGGGTATGATGTTAGCTGTGGGTGTAGCTTATGTGGCCTTATTCCTTAGGAGGTCCATTCCCTCCACAATCAATAGATGCTGAATTGTGAAAACAGTCTTGAGACTGCTTTGACGGATGAAAGAGCAACAAGGTGGTCCAAGTTTTCCCATATGGATTTTCTTGCATTATTGCTCCATATCTAAAACCTTTTATACAAAATCTGCTGTGTGCACAACACTGAATGCCACAGAATTTTCCCTCCTCAAACTTCTGTGATGGCGTGCATTAATCTTCACAGCCTTAAGGGGAAAGCAGAGGACTGCTGCCTTCCCAAAAGCTACACACGATGTCTAAAATATGCATGTAAAGCGCGGCACCGACCTCAAACACAGCGGCCGGCAGGCTGCAGGAGGCACTAACCGCCGCTGAGTGAACATATGAAAAAGAGAGGGTGAACGCTTGCCGGCACGCATATGTGCACCTTCCCCTTGCCACGTAAGTACTCTCCAAGCAGACGAAGGAAAGACCGAAGTCTGGATGAGTGCAGAGTATTACTTTAGGTCAGCAAACTACAGCCCCATGGGTCAAATCTGGCCCACAGCCTGCATTTGGAAATAAAGTTTCGATGAACACTGCCACGCTCGTTCATGGATGGTCTGTGGTTGTCGACATGCGACACCAGTAGAGCTGAGTCATTAAGTTTGAATCACAAAGATCACAAGGTCCACAAAGCCAAAAATATTTCGCATCCCATTCTTTAAAGAAAATGTTTGCCTAACCCCACTTTAAAAAACAAAGGTTTGTCCTCTGAAGGAAAGAGGTCCAGAGAAGTTGCTAAAAGAAAATGCCAAGCGGAGAGCAAGCAGCCATGCCTCATGGAAACACATGAAGTAAAAACAACAACATGGTCATCCCTGGAAAGAGAGGGGCCTTAACTCAATCTGTTTGCATCTGCTTTAAACTTAAAAGAATTATTAACTAGAGTACATGTGCCTGTTATTTTTCAATACCTCAGGTGGCATATTTCTGTAAGACAAACTTTCAGTGGGAAACTAAAACTTAATTTGTTAAAATCAGTAAACTGAATATGTTGACTAAATTTTGTTTCTGCAGTTAAGTATGTCTAAGTTAAGATTTACTCTAATCACAAGGATTGGACAAGTAGAAAGAGTTTTGCAAGCTCTTGTCATCAAAACAGAGGTTCTTCAAAAACAAAAACACCTTTATTTTGGCTTTCAAATATTTATGTAGTCATAGTAAATTACAAACAATCTGCTAATTTTTGTAAATATACATGTTTTGATTAGTTGAAAATCTGAAGCTTGATATTAATTTTATCTTTATTTTTGATACAATTTCCTTTTAATTCTATTAATAACTTCTGACCTAAAAGCTCTATCATTATCCAAATTCCAAGCATTCCAAGCTGAACAGACTAGCAGTGACTATTTTTTATAACAATGCTGAAAGTTCAAATTTCGAAATTTCTCTAACTCTTATATGTGCTTGGTTTCTCCATTCTCCAGATGTAACTCTGTCACAGGCATCCAGACCAGGGATAACTCCCCATTTCTGAATCCTAAACAAAGACCTTCCTGTTGCAGCATCAAGCCAAGCTGGTTTGGCAACAATTTTTATATTTATTGTGAAATCTCCTAAAAAGCCAAGTTAGGCCTACACTGCAGTTGTTAGTACTGTCACGTATCATAACAAGCAATTTAAGTTACTAAAACTATAATCAGATATGAAGTCAGTAGACTTCGGAGAAGATCACAAAGTTACTTTTGGCCACTGTATTCTATTGACAGTGACACTTAAAACCCAATTTCACTGCAGAACCAATGAAAAATTGCACACAACTGAAAGAGCAGAAAGAAATGCTCTTTGATCAAGGTGTGATAGAAAGCAGTATCTAAATGGCTAGGCCAAGTTTATTTACTTATTCAACAATGCAAAAAAACTTTAGGCTACAGTGGCAAGCAATGGAAGGCACCAGCAGCAACCTCTCGAGGAAAGTGTTTTACTTATATTAGGCATTGTAACAAAAATCAATTAGTTTGGTGAAATTTAACAAAGCCTAACATTATATTAAAATCCATTTCTCTGCTTCATTATTTTCATTTGTGCTGGATGCTGCAGGACTGCACCATGGTATAAATTTAAAAATTAGTGTGATCGTATGAGAACTGGTACCAACTGGTTTCATTTTCAAAGAAGTGGTGAGCTTAGCTATCTGACTTTACCTTCATACAAGTGACTGCCTTCAAATTTCTTTCTAGGCGTGTCAAAGCACTTCTGTGTTTCTCTTATTTAAAATACAGGACAGCAGTAACAGGCAGTATACTGCAGAAGTTCAAAACACAGGCCCTGCTGTAAGACTGCCAAGGTCTGCATCCCACATCTAACACGGTCAACACAACTTGGGCCAGGTGGCTGACCTCTTTCTGCTTCAGTTTCATCTGAAAAAAAGATAAAAAGAGTACCTATCCCATAGAGTTTTTGAGAGAAATAAATGAGCTACCTGTGTAAAGGGCTTAGAACGGTGCCTGACACAGTAAGTGCTCAATAAATACTACCTAATATTATTAAGATAAATAATGGACTGACCAAACATGTTTCAAGCAATGAGCAAAAGAGATTTTTAGGTAATTACTAGATCCTTTTGGAATACACAGGTTTTTCACATGTAGTTTGTATTATATTAGACCATTTTATGGTATAAACATCTCTTTTGGTGGTTCGCTCCCAATATACAGTCACTTGAGAAGGTCAAAATCAGGTAAGTTATAGTGCACCCTCTGACTCAAAATCTGGGACAGAGCCCAGAAATTTAAGAAAAATTTCTCAGATGACTCTAGTGTGCAGACAAGTTTGGGACCCACTGATCCTGACAGGGCTAAAAGCTCAAACTGTCCTTTAAAACTCCATCCCATACCTCACATCTGCACACTAACCCACACAAATATGTAACCATTTCCTGCCACATTTGTGGTCAAGCTTGATTTATTTAAAAAAAAAAAAAGTGGAAGTGGGGGTTTAATTTAAGAATAGTGTTTCATCATAGTTAAATACTGCTCTGCTCATCTGTTATGTTCAAAGTCTTCTAATTTTAACTACTCAAGGGAACACTCTGGTTATGTCAATAAGTATAATAATAATACCTTATATTTGTCCAGACCTTTATATGGCGTTACTTATATGGCATTCTATCATTTTATTTCTTCAAAGATCCCACCATGTTCTAAAGTATGCAGAGCAGTGGTGATTCCATTTTACAAACGAGGCGTGAAAGTGTTAACTGCAACAAGCGAAGGCACTAGAAGGGCACACATTCTCTAACTCCCAGAACTGTTTCTCTTCACTTTGTTCACTTGCTCTATCCAAAGAAAAACAAGATACCGAAAAATACTTTCCAAATGCAAGAAAACTCAACAGGAGAAAACAAAGTCTGAGTACTACAAGTTACTGCTATGAACTATCCAAAAAATTGTATTTTTTCCTTCAAAATGTAATCATATATCCTAACATTAAAAAAAAAACTCTAGCTTTTTCCTATTTATAATTAATGAGACTGGAAAAGAATAAATTTGAATGAGAAATTACTCACTACATTGGATGGAAGCAAGCAAACTATAGAATTGAAGTCAAGATCTAGACTGTAGGGATCTGCCCAAACACCACTGGAACCAGAACACAGGCAGAATTCACATCATTAGCGGGATGTTCTCAAGAGTCAAAATCACATTAGCCCCTTTACAGTAGTCCAGACCTCTCTCAACCCTTTATATAACATACTCAGGATAAATGGAATTAATTATGAGAAGCAATAACACAAAAACATTTATAACTATGGGAAAGATCAACAGCATTTCCTTTCATAGCTAATTTTTAGGCTGCGTAACACTGAAGTTCTAACTGCTAATTATTTTTAAAATGCATTTACATAAAATGAAATGTCTTGCAATTATTTTTGAAATGCAAATTATCATTCATTTCCATTTAATTCTGCTAAATTATTAATACACTCACTTATTACACTTTATGTCCTTACTAAAACACAACAAGTATTAAAGACTGCATTCTTAACAATATAATTCAATGTTAATCATAGAGGTTAACAATGCCAGGAATGTAATAACAAAAGCACATGCAGGACTACTCCTGGAACCTTATTCACAGCCGTGCGATTAAAAATGAAGAAAATCAATATAACAGGTCACCATAGAAACATTATAATAAAAAAGTTAGCTTTCAATCGATGCAACTTACTGTAAAAAGCCAAATCTATCCGTGACTTTGTAAACAAGGTAATCGGCGTCCTCCCAAGGTTCAATCTCTGCACCTTCTCGTCCCTGTAATTGGGGACAAAGAAGGGTATTATTGGGAATTTATAAAACTGAACAATACTTAAAAGAAAAAGTCCACAAAACAGGACCTTTTTTATGAATTAATAATAAGAAATAGAAATAAGGCACTATCAGCCTAAATTAACTTAAAAAAAAAAAACAAAAACTACTTTTGGCAATTAAATCACTATTCCCCAGTGACAAGCTTCAGAAGATCCTGTGTGCCAGCAACCGCTGACATGCAGCTAAGCCCTGATCGGACTTGGGTTTATGTGAGAAGTCAACTGGGAAAGACAGAGCAATGAAGGGTAAGAAAGCCACTCTGACTAAAACGTGTGTAGTAGAAAAAAACTATTTCTTACTTCTCATCCAAACTTCCCAGAAGAGTAAGCTATCCACCTTGTCTCTCTACTTCTTTACTTCACAGCTACATCAGCCTTGACATTACTCTTGCCAACATCAAAAATTATCTGCCATTGTTCAATCCAGTGGATGCTGCTCAGTTCCTATCTAGTAGATTCCATTCAGTGCATGTGTCCATGTTGCTCGCCCCCATTCCTCAAACTTCATCACACCAGCCTCTCTTGGCTCTCCTCATACCATCTAACTCTTCTTTTCATGGGTCTTCATGGGTCACCCTTAACCGTCAGTGTGTCCACAGTTCTGCCCTCAGCCCATTGCTCTTCTGGTTCTACTTTTGAAGCCATTAATTAGCATGGATTAGAGAAGGAACATCAAATGTCTACACTGGTCCATCAAATTTCAGACTCAATACCCAACTGTCTTGTGGACCCCTCCATGTGCACATATTTTATCAATGACTGCACAATGGCTAGCCATTGTGATTTAACTGCATGGGGGAAAAAACATCAAACATGAATGAATGATAGTCCTATTGGTTTTAAATTAGTTAAGCAGTTAAATAAATTAATTGGGTTTTTCACAGACTCCACTAAAACCTATTCACAATAATGGGAAATTGTGTCTGATGCTCCAAACAACCAATTCAAAAACAAACTCTAGGAACGTAACTATTAAGTAGAGCAGTGCCTGTCTGTATGCCTCTCCAGGAGAAGGGCAGTCCAGATGGCTTTCTGTAATTTCATGTTCCTGTTACTCTCCCAAATAATCAAAAATAACAGATATGTAATTACATGCAACTGAGATAAATATAAAACATGACATTTATAAATCACTGCCTCCAACCCATTATAGACCTCAAGGGGTAAAGTAATAATAAGAAGACATGTAAATTGTCAACAACTGTGATATTCTAGGGCACCAAAAACCAGATTCCATAACTAACTTAGAGATAAAATGCTAATGGAGAGTATATATAATGTATAAGTTCAAATTTTCAGATGTGTGTTAAAATTTTAAGAGCATATATAAATTATAAATAAAATGGGTATTTAATTCTATATGGTGCTATGGCCAAAAATTTACTGAATACCTAGCATGTGCTAGGAACTATTCCAGATATTTAGGATATAAGAGTAAGTCAAACAAAAGAAATCCTTACCCTCAGAGTGTACATTCTAGGAGTGAGAGCAGACAACAAACAAAATAAGTGTAATATGAAGTATGCTGATATAGTAAGTGCTATAGTGAGAAATAAAGAAGAGAACAGAGATCCAGAGAGCTGACGAGTTATTAAACAGTGTGGTCAGAGAAGATCTCACTAAGATAGCAGCATCTGGGTAAAGATCTGAAAAAGGTGAGGCAATGAGCCATGAGAATATCCAGGATAAAGTGTTCTAGGCAGAAGAAACAGCCAGTGCAAAGGCCCAGAGGCAGGAGCAAGCCTGGTGTGTTGGAAGAACCGCAGAGACCGGAGTGGCCACAGCACAGGGAAAGTGGGAGAGAAAATCTGGAGATGAAGTGAGAGAAAGAAAGATGACTTCAACTGCCACATGAAGTAAACAAACTGCTTCTGAATTTAAGCTCTCCAAACACGAAATCCATTTCTATTTATATGTCTTTTCCTAATAAATGCTTACTCAAAGAGTAAATATGAATACTTACTCTGTCATATTTAGCAACTATTTCAGCTCGCTCCTGGGCAAGTTTGAGTGCTACATCCTGGTCCGAATCTGTGAAGATCAAATTTAGATGATCCGTTATTTAAAGAACCAAAAGTTAATTATTATAAAAACTAAGACAAAAGAGAAATAAAACAATAAATTGGTATTGCCTAAAATGACAAACTAGCAAAATCAAATAAACTTAAAAGGCTGAGTTAAGTATCTGTAACTACAACTATGAAATATCGACGCATCTGCCATTTCAATAGTACAGATATTTTAAAAAAGCAAATTTGTTAACATAGCTTTAACTTAGGGGAGATGATAAATTTTATCCCTTAAGAATCAATGTTGGATCTAATTTCAAAGAAATAAGTATTAAAGTAGAAACAAACGGAAAGCTCTAAGTTTTCAGATGAAATCCATTTGGGTATATGATGAGAACATTCAAGAAGGCTTTTACAAACTGAGGTAATTTGTCCACAGAACAAACCAGCATACTATATACTTCAGGAGTTTAAAAAAAATTATTTCTCCTACATGATGAAAATAATTACTTCTTCATTTGGCCTCTGAGGTCCCCCTCATCAGCTGTCCCAAGTACTATGATAATCTCCAATCTTTCCGCACAGACATACCTTCTGTCTTACTACCACCCTGTATCTTTGTGAGAAACACAAACCTGACAACAGCAGTGGAGATCATAACATGAAATAGTATGCATATGATTACATCCCAAGTACCATAAGGAAAAACAAAAGACCAATAATAACAGGCTATATCAAAGGCACCTCTTATCAAGGAGAAAAAAGACAAGCATTTCACTGGAAATTTGGGCAAAGGCCACGAGCAAGAAATTCCCAAGAGTTAACGATAGCAGCCACAAGCATGTCTGTGTTCTCGGGAACGCTCTGGCAGACAGTAAGAGGTCTCCAGGCTTCAGATACCGTGAAAAGCACTTTACATGTCTTATCGCATTTATTTCTCACGACGACACTCTAAGATGGGTATCACATGAATTCTATCACTCAGACAGAAAAACATGAAGCCTAGCGATTTTGGCGAACTTGTCAAAGGTCACAGAACTAATAAAGAGCAAAACTGGGATTCACATCCAGCTACAACTGACTTCATAGCCAGTATTTGTAAGGGTTACTTTCTAAAAATGATTACTAAAGACACAAGAAAGGACTTCCAGGGAGAGATGGCCGATGGAACGTACATTTTATATCCATCCTTCTTGAAACTCACTAAAATGACAACAGAGGGATTCTTTAAATCCCCTCCCTCAAAGGCCCAGCAAATGGTGGCTCCTAAGGAGGGAAAGGATGGGGTTGAACACAGAACGCGGACGAAAGGGGTCAAGTCCCTGAGATTGAAGGGATGTGCAAGACTGAAGGGATGTGTGAAAGAGGTTGGGTGCAGGGAAGAGAACCCCATGTTGGCCCTCCAGATCAGGAGATCGGCAGACCCGGCTTGACTGCGCAAGCAGGAAGGGCAACACAGGCATGCCATCTAGCACCATGGAAGAAAACAGAAAACGAAGCAGTCCAGGGAGTGGAAGGTGGTTACTTCTGTGCGGCGGACTGTGAGGAGGGAGGAGTATGGCAGTCAGCTATTTTTCAAAATAAGCCATACAGACTGCTGAATCTTTAAACCAAATATAGCTCTGGTAAAAATAAAATCTAAATATAAAAGCCAAGGCATGGGGAAAAGAAATCAAACTTATTAAAAACTAAAGAAATACAAGCTTTAAAATATCTTTGTACTTATCTCTGACTGACCAAACACTGCACTGATGTTACTCAATGTTGACAAGAGCATGGGGAAATCAGTGGCAGCTTACTCTGAGGGGAGATTTATCAGTGTATAAAAATCTTTGTGGAAAGCAATTTGATAACATTTCTGTAGAATCTTAAAAACAGGTACGCCCCAACAATTCCAAGTCTAGGGAGTTAGGCCAATGAGATCATCGATATAACAATAAAAATTGGAAAAGGGGGAAATGTGTAAGTTTTTAATCATTTATTGCGGGGGGGAAATGCTTATTCACTGCTTTTCTCAGACTACAAAGTATCAATACGCTATCCTTTGGGGGAAACGTGAATAAGTAATAGAATGGTTCAATAAAATAACAAAAATTCAGACGAGTTTAGATTTTCACAGTGAACTAATGTAGTCAGAAGTCTGGGATAATCAACTCAATTATATATTCATAATCCTAGTCCAGACTTACAGACCCCTGTCAATACCTTTTCCCTCTTCTATTGCCCAGCTTGACAACATTACACCCCTGCTTCCACAAAGGCGTAGGGATAGCAAATTAATAGAAATTAAACTCAAACTGGGAAAGTTGACTACTTATTAAATTCCACTTCCATTATAAGAACAACTAAGCGTGAAGTTCTATGGGGATCAGGCCAAAGTCAGTGGATGAGTGTGTTCTTTGAATATAGTCAATACCACCTTCATTCCTGCTACCAGTTCTAGAGTCTGAACCCTATTTCCTACTTAACAATGACAGGTTTAAAAGTATAAAGACAAGAACTGGAAACAGTATGGAGCTGACAAGATGCAAAGTATCCCGAGAAAGCATCATTGTGGTGAACTGAAAGACAGCAAGCTTTCCACAGATGATCTCTAGTCTAGAGATTTCGGGAAAAGAAAACCTAAGCATGTAACAGAGGCCATACTGGAACTGAATGAAATTCTATCTTAATTTTATGAGAGAAAAATCACGTACTTTCATATGATTAGAGTAGTTGACATGGCTCTAAATCAAAGAAAGTAAGCTCTAAATGTTTAAATTCCTTTAGAAATTTCTTATCATTGCATTTCCCTGTGGAGAGAAAATTCTATAATGTTGACAAATGTGTTCTAAAAAAAAAAAAAGCATGAATCTGAAGTCAAACTGATTTTATAAAATACAGCCAAACCTGATTCTTTGAAGAGACTACATCTAAATGCCAATTCTTTCCAAGAGGGAGTAGTAGAGACATAATTTAGTAATCCACGTTGTGAGGCAATAATCTTTAGAGTAAGAAGTAATATCCCTACGCAGACTTCACTGTAGTTATATTGTTTCATAATGTCTGATCTGTAGTTGAGAAGTTTATTAAGAATTATACCAGAATCCTCCCTTTGGTTTCATTTTGAGTGCTTATTTAGAAATTCCATTGCAAAAACAAAGAGTGCCCTAAAACATTGATTACAAAGGGATATCAGCAGCTATCTTGTTCCAGGAACTTATTTAACAAAGACAGTTGTGTTACTCAGTACTTAAATCACATGCCATTATTAAATTTAACAAATCTCTATTACATTACTGAAGCCAAATCAAATCAAATTATTTTTATGGACTTCCCATCTAACGTAACAATGTTCCAAAGTAAAAGAGGCATATTTGAAGTAGTAAAAATCAAAAGACATTGGATTAAATACTCAAGTATACAGGAAAGCATACCTGGGTACAAATTTATGGAAGATAATGACAGCTACTGCGTCTTATGACACATTTAAAAAACTGACAACTACAACATTTTAAGAAGACGTCTAATTCCCTTTAAACACAAGAACTTTTAAGAAGCAAGCATCCTCCTGAATGGCATTTTTTAAAAGCAGGCATTGTAACTTAGTATCACTCAATTAATCCCAAATTGTAATGAACAAGTCAGTCAAAGTTATTAAATTTCAAATTCAATCCACTAAAACAAAATTGACAACAGACATTTTTCCTCCCGTACAGTCTGACAGATAATTATTATGTATAAATCAACTATTCCAATGTAAGAAGTACTTTACCCTTTGTTAGACAACTGGTCTGGCCTTGGGAATGACCGGCAGTTTCAGTCCTCATAGAGTAGACTTATCTACTCCAAGATCTCATTATTATTTTACAGTTCTCAAGCACACCAGGAGTGTTAGGTGGTGCCTCACACATTCTTGCAACAAACTGAAACCGAAAAGTGGAAGGCAGCTCTGCTTTAAACACTTTGTGAAACAAGTACAAGAAAGAAAACGTTTCTAGGGGAGAAGAAAAGACCTTTCTGTGGTTACACGGACTACAGATATCCAAACAAAGATGATGTTTGTTGAGGGTAAAAACATGTCTTTCAGGCTAGATCCCGAGTATGAACCATACCAGCCTACACCCAGCATTCCATCTGACAACAAACAGGAGCTTGAAACAAGCAGCTTTACAACATGTCATCCTGTACTGCAGAATCAGCCCCATGCATACCACTTTGCATAAAATTTGTCATGAAGCAACAAAGACAATTTTAATTGGAAACATTAAACTAAAGCTAAGTAGGAATGTTCCCCTCAAACACATGTTACATCTTAACATGATTTTTAACATGAAAACTGCAGCCTCTGTTTCAGACACTAAGTAGAATACATGCTAAATTTTGGAAGGTTTTGGAAAGTTTGGGGAACTTTTAAGACACCACACATATACAAGTGAAACACATGTTTTGTGAAACAATGTGTATAATTACTGTAGGATGGCACTGTGAAATGTTCTCTTCCATTCTATTTATTCTGTCTTCCCTTCAATGCTTCCTTCTTTCAGATGGTCAAGGGCCTACACTTTGGAAACCACTTCTCAGACACAACAGCCTTGTTAGAGGCATGCTTGTGAACGTTAATTACACATAACTGGACACTTAATGCATTAAGTTTACACTCAGCTGAACTCATGTGTAACATTTAATATAAGCAAAAGATCTCAGAAGCTTAGAGAGAGGGAAAAATTTCAAGTCATATACCAAGGAATGAGAATCAAACTGGTATCAAACTTCTTACCAGCTAAAAGATAATGAAACTCTGCTTCCAAAGTTTTAAGAAAAAATTATCATTTACTTAGAATTCTATACCAAGCCCAACTATCAATGAAGCACGAAGAAAAAATAAAAACATTTCTAGATATTATGAGTTGTGCTGAGCTCAAGAATGACACCTCCTCCCCAGAAGATGTCCACATCCCAACCCCTGGAACCTATGAGTGTACCTTATAAGGTAAAAGGGATTTGCAGAGATTGGCAGATGTCATTACGTAAGGCTCCTCTGATGGGGAGAATATTCTGGATCATGCAGCCAGGTCCGACGTAGTCATAAGGCACCATATACAAGGGAGACAAGAAAATGTGACAATGGAAGAGGCCGGAGTGCTGAGAGAAAGGAAGGAGAGTCACTAGCCAAAGAAAGCAGGTGGTCTCTAGAAGTTAGAACAGACTAGGAAACAGACTCTCCCCTGGTGGCTCCAGAAGGAACCAGCCAGCCAGACACCTTGTCTTTGGCCCAGTAAAACTGATTTCAGGCTCTGGCCTCCAGAACTGTAACAGAGTTAATCTGTGTCGTTTTAAGCCACCACGTTTGTGGTCGTTTGTTATTGCAGTGATAGGAAACCAATATAATGGTTCAAAGTTCACTGCCTATGCAATGTTTCTTTTAAAAAGAATTTCAGGATACACGACAGAAAAACAAGACAACAGCAAGAGCTGACAGAGACTCTCTCCTTTTTCAAACTTCAGTCAGGCCCCTCCTAACCCTCTTCCTGACGAGGCCTCAGCCTGTGTCCAGCCTGCCTAGCCCAGTTGTAGCACGAGTCTGTAGCTGGTCATCCTGGCATTGCCTCCACCCAGGATCCTGTTCAGTCAATGTAGCAAGGACCCCCGTACCCTCGATGTCACCTCTACCCGCAGACTCCTTTGCTCTGCCTGTTGACTATAATCCCCCGCTGTCCTTACTGTGTCTGGAGGGGAGCCTGATCTCTCTACAATATTGACAACAGTCTCGACACTAACTGCAATCATCCTGAACAAAGTCTTCTTTGTTGTTTTAACAAGTGCCAGAATTTTTTCTTTAATGGAATCAAAAAGAGGGGCAGACACAGGAGGCTAAAATTAGACATTTCCAGATGCCAACTGTGTAGTTGCCTAGAGAGCAGCCAGCCTACATTTGAACAGGGAATACAAGGTGTCTTCAGGAAGAAAGTGGGTATTATTAGTGATACAGTAAAAGCTTATACATAAAAGACTCCAAAAAGAGGGTAAAAGGACTTGGAAATCTCAGAACAAGCACAGCATAAAGTGATAAAAGTCACAGTCAAATGTAAAGAAATGTATACAAGGCATTTTTACATTTGAATTGGATGCACATAAGAGAAATGAATTCAAGTGACCTTGACACTTTGAACAGTAGGATTTTACTTCCTTCCTAGGTACATCATAACATTTGAGACTGAGGCAAATGATACTGACATTATTGTGATCATATGATACTGACATTATTTTGATCACGTAAGAATTTTATCAACTTTTAAAGTTCACAATCAACTTCAGACCAAGTGTCCAAAACCAAACTCTGATCTGCAAACACAGACCCCACTCCAAACCTAAGTCCCCTTCCCAAAAGCAGCTGCTGTGACCTATGAAAAACATTCTCTGCACTATACAGGACCCTGCCTGTATCCATGCGTACACACAGACCTCAATTTCCCTTTTCTAGTCAAAAAGTAGAATCATTCTACAAATAATTCTACACCTTACTCTTTTTCATTTTTAACAGTTCATCTTGGAGATTGTGCATATCAACATCTACAGATCTACCCAGCGGTGTGCCAATACCACTAAGAAGCAACCGATTCTTAGAGGGAAGAAATAAGGGCTCAGGGACCTGGTTTGCAGCATCTCCCAACTTCCAGACAGCCACTCGCAGCACTGTGGTGGCTAATCAGCAAGCGACAGAGCTCCAGCACAGAAGACAGAGTTCAGCTGGCTCAAACGCTTCAATAATATCTACCGCAACCTTTCCACAGGTGCAAAGCTTCTTGATGCCTTAATTTCTTCCAGCAGTCTTCTCTAAGGGATGTGAACGAGGATAAAATGGGAGTCCATTTTTAGTGGGAGTTAAAGATAAAACATGAGGAGGTGAAGGGCTTACTAGGCAGTGGTGACCAAAGGCTAGGGGAAAACAGGAAGCAAAAACGACCAGGAAACTGAGAAAAGCAGCTGCTGCAGAGAGGAAAACAGTACCTGGCATGCAGAGCAAAGCGAGTCACCACGACTAAAAAAAGAGACAGAAGGACCTCTCCCCGAAGCTGCTTCATGCTTCAGCTCCCAGTGGCTTTCACTTCCGGCTCAATACAAATAATGCTCTTTTATCTTGAAATAATTTGAGTAAGTTATTCTTGTCTATGATCTGAGTTCCTTCATTCCACCCCATCTTTCAACCCAAAGAGGCCCCGGCACCAACGGGGCCTACGCGGGCTTCGGGTGTTTGTGATCACTTGCTTAGCATGCCCCGGACTAAGACGGACCAAAAATGAGGCTCTTTCAATGGTAAAATCTTAAGAGGCACCACTCCTAAAGACGTCAGCATTGATTTATGTCTTGCGCGAGATCCGAGGCTGGAAGGAATACTGAAGGAGGAATAGGCAGAGTTAAGAAATTAACACGAAAACATAACTAAAAACAAATTAAATAAAAGCAGGTGCACTAGTCACAAGAGAACCTGAAATGCCACTTACTGTGACTGGTCACTCTGTGTGAGATGACATGAAGTGCAGGCACCTACAAGTTCCATACACCCGAGTGCCAGCCCCCTACCCTTGAAAGCTTATTCTGAAACGGCATGGCAGGATACCATGGGATACCGGCCCCCTGCCAGTCCTGTGCCAACTAACCCAGGGTCTCCGCCCATTCCCTCCACTGGGAGGTCATCTGTAATCCAACATGCCTTGGCACTCCAGCCCAGCCCCACTTTCATCTCTCATAACTCAATTCCATATTAAACTTATCAAAAGTTTATCTTAAACTTATCAAAAACTTATCTTATCAAAAACTGTACAACCCCCAAAACGTACTTCTCTCCTTCTTCCTCCCTCCACTAGAGTTAATAATCTTAGAAAAGTCATTGGCTTCCTTCTCTCTTTCTCAAGTTCACTGGGAATAAGACAACAAAAGATTCGGATCATAGCTAAAATTATAAGACTACTATAAATAATCGTGATAAGGAAGGGACAGCCAAAGGCAGGAAGCTAAATATATGAAAGAACCAATGCCATAACCCAGTCTTCAGAAGTGCCCAGATTTGCTCTCAAAACAGCCACACAAGTGTCTGTACAATAGCTTCATATTTCTCTGGTTTAATATGCATTGTGTGATACCATAAAAAAAATTCAAAATATATAAGCTTAAATACTCTTCATTTTTAGCTTTTAATTATCAGTGTGAAGAGGATTTGTGTCTTTCCACTCAAAATATTTCTATTACAGCACTATCAGCATGGTATCAATATTTTCTACTATATCATGCTTTAAACGAATAGTTTTTAAATTTTTCATTAAATTTGCAGAACACATTACTTCAAACAAATTCTTACACAGAAGCCCAATTGCCCAGCAAAGCGGGTAGGTAAGGTTAAGGAGAAAGGGAGCAAAGTTCCCCTGACTTGATCTCCCTCTTTCTTCCACAGTGATCCAGGGGACCTGCACGTACCTACAGTGCTATATAGGCCAGAGCAAGCTGTACCCACCCGGCCTTCTTTTTTGAGTACCTTGGTAAATAAAACTACTGCTCATATGACTTCTCTTCCAATCAGCTTCCCAACTACATCTCAAGCTCCCTCTCACAGAGTCTCCCCCATAATTCTCAAGGTCTGAGTTTTCCTTATACAAATAAAAAGATCAACATTTTATAATTGATAGGTTGGCTGTTTGTTTTATTTTGTTCGTAAGCATATACTTTTAAGACCCTTCAGAACACAGATATTTTAAACACAGAGTACCTGGTATCAGCAAAGGTATTTAATATTTCCATAACTAAGAAGATACTTAAACTTACAGTCTTAACAATAATTCCTGGGTAGGCTTCCATTACTTGCTTCCTAATTTCTAGAAAGATGAGAAACAAAATAATTTTTAAAATAAAAAAAAAATTACTGACAAAGATTATTATAATTGAGAAGATCATTTTCTCTCAAATTCAATCTTGAATTATAGTGGACCTACCTTACCAGTGCCCACTGGTATAAGGGAAAACTGGCCACTGCTTCATTTGTTCTAGCGTACTTCCAAACTGATACCCATAATATCTCATTGAATACATTTGTTGACATGTCTATTTAACTGTAAGCGTCAGGAACAAAAGACAGTTATCTCATTCACCTTGGCATCACTATCACAGTGCCTAACACAGGGTAGCTGCTCAGCAAATATATCTTAAAAAGATAAAAATATCTCCTCAGAATGTATCACTATGGTGAACTATTCAACCAACTAAATACTAAGACATCTATTCATTTTTAACAATTAGATTTATTTTATTTTATTTTATTTTATTTTATTTTATTTAGTTGAGAGAGAGCATGAGCCTGGGGAGGACCAGAACGGGAGGGAGAGGGAGAGAGAGAACCTCTTAAGCAGACTTCAGGCTAAGCACCGAGCCTAAAGGCAGCAGAGCTCCATCCCATGACCTTGATCACAACCTGAGCCAAAACCAAGAGCTGGACGCTCAACTGATTGAACAGTTGCCTGAACAATTAGATTTTAAACTATTTTCCAGACACACTTTCACTGCAGAAAGCATACCTTTACTAAAGATTATCAGCTTTGTTTTTATTCTATTTCAAGGTAGCATTAAAAATTTTTTATTAAAGCACATGGGTGGCTCAGTTGGTTAAGTGTCTGCCTTCGGCTCTGGTCATGATCTCAGGGGCCTGGGATCGAGTTCCACATCGGGGTCCTTGCTCAGTGGGGAGCCTACTTTTCTCTCTGCCTGCGTCTCTGCCTACTTGTGTGCTCTCTGTCTCTCTTTCTCTGTGTGTCAAATAAAAAAATAAATAAAATCTTAAAAAAATTTTTATTAAGACTAAAATTCAGATACAAGAAATCACAACCTATTTCTGATTAGCACTTCTAATTAATTATAAGTCCTTCATATCCATTAAGGAAGAAGGAAGGAAGGAAGAAAAGAAGGGAGGTAGGGAGGGAATGAGAGAGAAAGAGAGAGAGAGAGAAAGAGAAAGATAGGGGAGCCTCTTGAAAGATGAAGAAAACCACAGACTTGTGTGTGATGTTTGTGTTCCAATCTACTCCCTTCCTCATGTCGTCCTTGAGCCAGCTCCCCAATCTACTCATAGAATCTTGCAGTCTCACTTTCTTGACAGGGAGTCCTGTTCACTTGGCTGAGTGTTCTACCACCATGCTTCAAGTCTATGTGGAAACACTTCAGCTAAAGGAACACTCCAGAACTCTCCCGCCACTTCTCCCTCACTCCTCTCATGGGGTCAGAAGGACTTTGGAGGTTGGCGTGGTTGAACTCCTCGCTCTCTCTCTCAGAGAAGAAGGCACCCATCTTGAGGGGAGGCCTGCAGTCGCCCGGATATGCTAGTCACAGCGTAAGTCTAAGTCACAATGGGCTACTAAGCCCTTTTCACTTCCGCTCTAATGTCATGTCCTCAGATCAGCCAACAGAGTTGACATTTTGACCTCTATCTGTCAGTCTCTTGTGTTGTATTTCTTAAAGAAAAGAAACAGTATCACTCTCGGTTCCCTAGAACTCCCCAAATCAGACTAGAACCTCCTACGCCTATGTGTAAGGTGATTCATAGAGAAAAAGGATATGGAGTGATGTAACAATATTTAAATACCATTACTACTGATGAGAAGCATAATTACTAGCTGTTGAATATGAGTCTAACTCCCACATTTGGGGGCAGGGTTGAATGACAAAATTGTCAACAACAGATACTTAGCACCAAGACAAGCTTATGAGTCATTTTACTCACTTAGATCCGCCTACAGGTTGCTGGCAAACGCAGGATTATACCTTAGCTGCTTTTCCAGCAGCATCATTGCTTTAGAAGATGACACAAGACTCACTGGTAACAACTCCCTGTTTGTGGATACTTTACAACCTATCTAGTGAGAGTTTACTAGGTGCCAGACACTGTGTTGAGCATTTACTACGCATAACCTCATATACACAAGCTACTCTCGTAGTTGTATGTCTATCCCCAGTTTACACATGGGAAGCCTGAGGTGTGGAGAGGTTAAGTCACTCTGGTCCTAGCGGAAGTAAGTAGCAGAACAGGACTTAAAAGTCAAGGCTGTCTGACATCAAAGCCCTGTTTTTAACAACCAAGCTATTTTGCTGAAGTACAAATGGTTGATCTTTTTATATTTCTTCTCACCTCTGCTGGTCCTTACATCTTTTTTCTTAGAAACAAATCTAATTGTGATTCTAACAGTTGTTTTCTTTCCAGCAGCCTTCTAAACTGACCACGCTGAACTGTCTACTATTTGTGCAAAATGGACTTCAATGATGCAGAGTCCAAGAACACCTTTATGAAATATTCTTTGTGATCCTAAGCAATTGTACCTCCTATATTGTAAGCTGTATGTTTTAGGATAATAGGAAATGTTCAAGAAACATGTGGTGTTCACTTCAGCAGCACACGTTCTAAAAACTGGAACAATACATAGGATTAGCGTGGCCCCTACACAAGGATGACATGCAAATACATGAAGCATTCCAAAAAACACATAAATGCAACCAAAAAACCTGCAAAAATAGTTGAGTGACCAGTCACTACATGGATACTAAATTCAACTCTGCTAAAATACTTTATGCATTTAGTAGATACTAACTCAAATGCCCTCGCAATTAATTTCTATGACTATGGAAAGAATTCTGTTGAATCTACTTCATTTACTTAACTTCCACAACTTTCAGCTCATTCAGAACTGAAAGCATGTACAGTTATATTCACTATAAGTTCGTGTTGAATTCAGCCCTTTGGATGCCAACAAGAAACAAAGCAATTATAGTGGATTCCTGTAGACCACACATAAGGCAAAGGGGATGGAAGAGAATTCATAGAATGCCCACCTCAGTAGTATAGAACTAATTCCACAGATAATTTGGCAAACCCTATTTTCAACGTGATGGTAACTTTTCCTCTCTTTAAATAAAAAAATGATAAGCAAATAGTAAACTGTCCCTAAAATGGCATACAAAAACAAGAACTCAGTATCACCTAGTACAACAAAGTAGCACACACAAAAAATTGGATTAACACATTTTTTTAAAAGTATGACTATTCAAGTATTATTTGGTTCCTGAATGGCTCTTAGGTTCAAATCAGAATATAAAGCCATTGAAGAGTGCCTAGGTGGCTCAGTCAGTTAAACATCCAACTCTTAATCTCAGTTTAGGTCCTGATCTCAAGGTTGTGAGTTCAAGCCCTGCACTGGGCTCGTGCTGGGCATGGACACTACTTTAAAAAAAAGGAAAAAGCTATCAAAAGCCAGCAACTTGGGAAATAATAAATCTAAGTGTTCATATCACACTGAAGCTGTCATCCATTCACATAATTTTTTTACAAAAGTGCCCTAAGCTCCAAGCACAGCACCACATAACTCTTGTAACATAGAATTACAGTCATCACCTCCTGTAATAAACCCTAAGAACATCATATATGCACATCTCACATTTATATGTATGTTTAATATAACATGTATTCTCTCCATTGTTACTGTTACTGTACCAATAATTTTGTGTTGGCCTGCCTCGTATAAGTGAGATTTATTTTACAGAACAAACATCAAATGTGCTATACACATATGAAAGTCACTGATCAGGAGACTAGATATAATAAATACCAACTAAGAGTCTGGCTCATAATAACAGCCAGCATTTCTTTTGCACAATCTAAACATCTTACGTATGTTATTTCGCGTAATGACCTCACGTCCAAACTGTGAGGTAGGTATCATTATCGTTCATTTCACAGCCAAGAAAATTGTTGGGTTAATTAACTTGCAAGATCACACCGCTCTGCAGTAGCACTGGGCCTATGCAATAAGGCCCCAGAGTGCTCTTAATCACCCCACGTAATCTTTGAATAAATGAAATGGCAAGCAAATGTACAAAGGTTTGTCAAGAGAATCTGTCAAAAGGGATCCTCAAAGTAGCATTAAATCAGGGCAGGAGGCCAAGGAAATGCCCTCCAATCAACAGGAAGCCAAGGAGGTGTTTTTGAAGGGAAAACTGGCCAGAAGCTGCAGCTACACTGAAGGCTGCTGGGGAAAGAAGAAGAATGTGCTTATTAACAGCTCATGTTATTGAGCTGCTGTTATTCAGCAGGCACTGTGCTAGGTACATACAATAGCTCACTGAATGCTCCAACAGCCTATTAGCATTTATATTCTACAGATGAGAAAATGAAACTTGAGAGGTTAAGCAACTTGTCTAAAGCTACATTATGGGTCAAAGTCTCAATACAAACCCATTATCTGGAAGGCGACAAAGCCTGTCCTCTGGCCAATAACGCCATAAAAGTGAAGCGAGAAAGAGAATGTCTGCATATCTGTAAATTGATAAGGTATAAGCTACCAAGAAACTGATGCACCGTGACCAGGAAGTGGTTTGGCTGAGTCAGTGTGCTCAAACCTACGTGCGCTGTGTTTCCGCAAATGAATATCTTCCTCCAATAAAAAGAAAAATCTTCCTAGATCTGAAAACGACTTCCCCGAATTCCTTATTCCTGCGCACTTTCAGATAACCAAGTTCTCAAAGTTTCCTTCCACTGATATCAGAAAGCTGCCATAGAGTTTTACACACAAAAAAAATGCATTTTCCTAGTTTGTGATTATTACAAACAAGCAAGCAAAATTTTCCAAATGTTACACTGGAGCAGCTCAATCTTGATACAATCAAACCTATTTTTTTTTTTTTTAAATGCTTTACCAGCTGCTAATCACCAGACCCTGGGAAGGGAGCAGGGAAACATAAATTTCCTGTCCATGGTTTTTAGTTGTCTTTGATTTATACCCTCTATTTACTATTCAGTCTTATATTACTTTTTTTTAAAACCCTTTTAACTGCATCTTTTTTCCCCCTAAGTACAACACATAGGTTCTTCAGCATGAAGATTCATTAATTTTAAATTATACCAAACTTTAAAATACAGTATTTCCAACACACTACCAGCAATTCGTAGTATATAAATATTGCACAAAACACTCCAGCTTTCATCATTGGCATTTGAAGATTTTAATGTTTCATCAGTTTCAACACTCCTAAAGGTCATCATATGTAACAACTGGTAATTTTCCTTAGGCATGAATCTGAATCATGGACTGTGTGTACGAAAGCGGGTCACCTAGCTGACGAGGGAGCCTGGATGTCTAGTTAGTGCCTATCAAAGTAGCTTTGTTTTTCTCCACTCATTTCACAAACACCAAATCCCATGGTGGGAGTGAAATAAAACCAAAGCAAAACACAAAATTTAGGGGCCTCAAAAAGAAGGCAGGTAGTATTTTGGAAGTACCTCTGATTTGCTATGGTAACACAGCATAAACCCCCGAGATGTGACCTACAGAGATCATGCAATGTAAACGATAAATTTCTCCAGCACTGTGCCATATGAAGACTAAAGTTACTTCAATACCAAAAGATAAAACAATAATCAACTACCATGGGAAACAAAACAAAAAAAGGACATGAACAGAAAAGAGACAAGTCACATGCAACTCTTGTTCTCAGGGCTGTGAGTCTGAGCCCCTGGTAGGGTGAAGAGATTACTTAAAAATAAATTCTTAAAAAAAAAAAAAAACCACCAAAAACAAGAATGACATGCATCATAATGCTAACAATCATTTTAACTCTCTAAATTCCTCTGAGAGGATGAACTACAGACAATTTTATTTTCTTCTTACCCTTGTGTATTTTTTTTCTGCATGGTCATTAGTAAGTATATGTTACTTTTATTATAAAGTGTATTTTTAATATAAAGACAGATCACATTAATACCATAAGTCAAAAAATTAAAAATTTTAACCATTTTTTCCCAAATACATTTTAAGTTTTTTAATAAAACGGTATGCTGCCTGGGAAACAAACTTGGTCCCCAGTTCTCTAATGAGGTTTTAGATGGAAATCTATAAAACATTTTTTGAAGAAAGTTATCTATAGTCATCAAAATAATTCTCCCCTATCTCTATGGACACCTAAAATTCTACTTGGAATACCAAGTAATAAGTCATGTAAGTGAGTGTAGATCAGATTAAGAATATAAAGACCAGCTTTCCCCTGGAAAAGTGGTAGATTAGATTTTCTGATATTCATTAAATCAATGAATATGCCACTGCACTAAGTTACTATGAAAATAAATATGGATAAAGCGTAGTTTTTCATAAAGATCACAATCTCCTGAGGGGATCAAACACATAAAGAATCACTGTAAATAATGTGATAAATCCCCCTTCATCGAAGTCTTTTTAAAAATGCTACAGACAAATTAACAGGGAAAAAAACGAAGACAGAAAAAGATTTTTCACTACAAAGCAACATTGGAGCCACGCCTTCCAAGAACAGTAGATACTTAACCATGTGGACAAGGACTGAAAGTCACAGTGTGTTAGTAAAGAGGTACAGTCCATAGAAGGAAACAGAAGAGCGCATATAACACCTGCTGGGGGTTAGGGATACACATAAATACAGAGGTTCATCTATTCATCTATTTCCACAGCAATGTCCACTGCTGGGGTAAAAAAGGCAAGTCTCCTAACTTTTATCATTTCTCCTTTAATGATATTCTACCCAGTACAACTGGACAGAAGGCAATACCCTGGGGCAAAAGTTAAGTGTATGCAGGAAAAGAACAAAAGGCAACAATTCAGGATCAGAAATTAGTTGGAGGCCGTGAAGAAAGCAAAATAAACATAGTAAAAATTTCATAACTCTGGTTCTGATACTACCAACATATCATCACTACTTGGGTATTCATTCATTAAGACCTGAGTCATTAAAAATTAAATGACTGAGATAATGGCAAATGGAAACCTATTTTAATGATGCAAATTCTGTTCCAAAAGCCAATTCAAAAACCAATCTAAGCACATTCAAATAAATATTCCTTCAATATTATGCCAACATAATCCACCATATACATTATTTTCCTTGAGAAAAATAGCAGTGGTAGAATGTAGATTTCCACAGAAAGCAGCACCACTGTACTCAGGATTTTTTAAAAGACAATAATCTTAGATGCAACTTACCCATGAAAGAATAGCAAAGGGCTACCACTGGGCTCCAGATGACATCTTGTCTGGATATCCTGAAATTCCAACTTAGGTTTCTTTACTGTTAAGCTATATATCTCATCCCCATACCAATGTCTCACTCTCAATTACCTGGCCAAAACTATATACAGGTTACATGAAACTCTAAGTGAATTTTTTATTATATCAGTCAAAGAGTAAACTCAAAGACACAATTAAAGTAGGGGAAAAAAGTCTCTTTGAGAATGCTACACCTGATGAGTTATACCAAATCCCACATGAAATATCACCACACGCCAGGGAGACTGATTATAAAAACACATTTTACATAAAAGACCTGCCATCCTTCTCATTGAGGAAAACATTTCTTAGAAAGCACTATCTCCTTCCTACTCACTGAGTATACCATCTGAAGTTACAGAATACATTTATAACAACCACCCCAATTCCTCTTTTACAAGAAAATAAGCATGACCAA